AAAAAAAAAGGGTGATAGGCACTTTAACCATAACTACACATTGTGATTGAATGAATTATTGGAAAAGAATGTGAAGCCATTTCAATGTTTCGTTGACGAATATGCCTCGTGAAAGCTCAAAAATAAACTTTGCCCCAAGTAGCAGTAGTTATAATTTTTCAGACACTTTAAAAAAGGTTATTCTAATTCCACATATATTTTTCTTTGCGCCTTAGTTTGTTTCGTAAAGGTGGAGGCTCCAAGCTAAAAGTCCTTGACCTTTCTGGCTGTAAGCTGTTAACAGACAAAACTCTCAACAAACTTTCCTCATCTCTTGGACAGTACACGTCAAAGACTGACATCGAAGAAGGAGTACATGAGTATACTTTGACATGTGGTTGTATGGCAGATTACTATCCTTCCAACATTTCTAGGTGTTCGCTGCAGTTTCTTAGTTTGTCTGGGTGCTATCAAATCACTGATGCTGGCCTAATGTAAGTTAAAGTAGGGATTTAATATCCATTTCCATGTCGGATGAAATCGATGTATGTTCATGTAATTCAATGAGGATATCATATGGGCGCGCTGAGATACGAATTTTATCTTCGAGTGTTGAAAAGATCTCTCACGAGTGAGAGAATATTCTGTTTATTATATAATTACCAAAGTATGTTTTGGCTTTTTCAGGCAATTCTTTCCATGTATTTTTGAATAGCCATCGCAATGGTGTTATTTTCACACGTGAAAGTAACATGTTATTTTCACGTGTGAAGATATCAATTTTTCGAAACAGAGAAAAATAGATATTTCATTGGTTATTATATAATAAATATCTTCATGTAGTAATTATACATTTTTTTTCTGTAGGTCTCTGGCAAGCTTTGGTGGCTTACCAAACCTTCAGTACCTGGACTTATCAGGCTGCCTCAACGTGACGGCTGAAGGTCTGCTAAATCTAGTGTCCGTGTGTCCCTCATTAGACCATGCGCAGTTCTTTTACTGTGACAATATTTATGAGGGGCCATATCCAGACACAGCCAGTGGGTGCCAAAACCTGGAGTGTACAAACAGAGTGTGCTGCCGACTGGCAGAATAATACCAGTGTTGTTTCCATGGTAACCATAGTTTAAATGTAATTCTGAACATATAGTCATTTTGCACTATTACAAATGTTGTTTTTCCCAAATGTGACCCTCCCCCCATTAAACCAAGCAATTGCCCTATTTCATTGAAAGCCGCATGAAAATAATCTCATATTTTAGTTAATGAAAAAAATCATTGTTAAGGATGACAAAATAGCAACAACACAAAGAAATCTACTGCACTTTATCAATTCTATAATCTGCATCTGAATTCCCCCTAGTAAATTAATATTAATTTACATATACTCAAAATATTAATAGCAAGGCTAACAATTAGATACAAAGAAATCACCATTTTCCTCGATGGAATTTGTGGCCTTTCTTTTGTATTTCCATGTTAGCCTCGCATTCAAGACAATTTTAAGAAGGGTGCTTTATAGTCACCAATGAAAAGCGTTTTCCACAAATGGCATCACAATTATGCATCACTGAATTGAAATGCAGGCAGTCCAAAAAATTAAGGGCAAAGTGATGCTAATTTGTTACACTTATGTTTTGTTGTTTCCAGTTTGTGGAAATATGGTTTTTCGACTAAATATTAATTTTCTTTTTTTTGTAACCGAAGCCTTTGTTTGTCCGCGAGTCTATCCTAGACAAGGCTTGCGCTATCTATTTTAAGTGACCATGGAAAACATAATTCAATAGACCATGGGATATGTAATTAAATAATATGCGGCTATTAACTCTGGAATTGTGTTTATAGTACATAATTTTTGGATTTCATACTGATTCAAAGTTAAAAGGAATCTTTCAATAAAGGTTTTGCACCACCACGTGACAGCAGCCATGTCACATGGCAGGAACAATACAATCGTTTTACATGAGAAAGAATTCAATCCCAATAGCAAAGGGATTGTATTGTTCTGCCATCTAACCACAGGCAGCCCAAGCTGTATTAGGGGTGTGACCACGTGATGGTGCAAAACCTCTATTCTCTTCTTTTGCGTGCCCCATGGTGCTTTGTCCACTGGGAGGGTAACCAATCAAAACACTGTACCAAAATGAAACGTTCTTCGATTGAATATTAACTATACCTGCTTTTATCTGTATAATAGGGATTAGCAGTTCATTTTGAGTTAATTTTGTGTGTTCAGAACATCAAACTATCTTTTGGTGTTACAGAAATTGTATTAACTTACGAAGAAATATTTAAAATATACTTTGAACTCGTTCAAGATTCTATTTCTTTTTTCATTTTATATTTGGATATCAAACAAGGTATTTTCAACATTGCCTGAACAGCCTTTAGCAAAATAAGTGCAACTAGGCCGCAAAGGTATGCAAAAGAAGAGAATACTTATAATTTGCATAGCGTTGGTACATTGTTAGAGTGATACCAAATTTGGGTTTTATACATTTAAATTATTAGCCAATCAAATACTTGTTAAATATAGAGTTATATGCTAAGTATGTACATATGAACTGATAAAAGGACAATTGAATACAGGTTATTTTCAGATTAAGTTGTAAGAAAATATTATATCTAAATAAAATATAGACTGTTCGAATATAGATTAAACAGTTGTTTACGGTGGCTTTTTCATTTATTTTTTGCATATACTCACAATTATGACTTTAGTGCAAAGACTTGATGTGGCTATTATGAGTTAAATATAGGAGCTAGAGTGACACTTGGCTTAAGTTTTAATTTTGAGCTAATTCTCACAGAGATATTCTCTATTTGAGGATTTGACTCTTTACAACTATCCTACAACTGATAAGTGGCTAGCCTAACCTCAGTATTAAGGTAATTCCCTTGTTTTGCACTGCTCATTTTTCTGTGCATGCAACTAAAAGCATAGAACTAACAAACTGTTTAGGCATTTTTCTTTTGGAAACTAAATAAGCACCATGATCAAAACCAATATTCATTTTTTTCTCATTTTTGATGAGAGAAATTGCAATTTTTATCTGACTCGCCCCAGTCTCAACTATTTTGAGATGTTTTTTCGAGATAAATCAAAAACGAGAATGGTGACCCCCTTTTTTATTTCAGATTTTTTATAAATGTGATGCTCGTCATTATATATCAAAATATGAAGGAAAGTTTATTGGATAGATTTTGAAATATTTTGAGAGGAATATGTTGACGTGCAATTTTTGGACGTTTGTAGAGGCGCAAGTTATTGGCAAAATTTCTTTCAAGGATATTACCTTCATTTGAAATATATATTCCTTGATGCTATATAGACCATGCTATTTAACTTTCATAAGCTTATTTTATCAAAATAAATAAAAATGGGAAAAAATTTTTTCAAGGCTGATAGACATTTTTAGCCTGGGTGTAATTATGCTTTCCCATTTCAAACCATGTGTTGCCATTCCCAAGAGTTTAATTTCTTTGTTTAACAGTTGTGCAACGAGAAGACACATGAATGTGGATAACATTTAAACATTTAAAAATTAGAAGAGATAACTTAGCAGCTAAAAACTAGTGTGAGCTGCGTCGGTGTTTCTAATGAAACCATAATAAAAAAAAGGTAAATTATACACTGTGAAAAGATGAAAAAACTTACTGATGTTTCAGACGCTAGTCCTTCGTCGGAGCAAAAGATTATGTTATTCTCTAGGGAATTACATATGCCCCAGCTAAAAAGGTCTAATATTAGATTAAAAGGTTTGCCCTCTAACCTACAAAATATATACAAAATGGGCTTTACATTTTTAAAGAAAGATTATACCTACACTTTAAAACTGTTTCATTTTATGATCAATATATGCCCTGAGGTAGCTGACTGCCAGATGTCTTTCACTCAGGGTTACAAAAAAATTTTCTCATTAAATTTGTATTTTTTATTGGCAGGCATTAATTAAAAAGCTATGAAACATATGTCAATATCTAAGTTATAGCTGAATTCTATATAGTTTTGGGAATCTAACCTCAGAAGTCCTTAAGCAAAGTATGAATTGTGTAGCTCCAGAAATTGTCCAACCCCCTCCCCTCACAACAGAGGAATTTGGGATTTAAAAGGGGTGGGGGTCAGAAAAACAACAAATTTGCAGAGTTTGTATGGTGGCAAATTGGAATTTTTGGGGGTAGGGGGGTCCTTTAAAAAATTCCTCCATGGAGGTATGGATAATTTCTGGAACTACACGTCTTATAATTATATATTTCAAACTACTCAGACAAATATAATCATCATCCCAAAGACTTACTGTTAGAGTGCATGCACTAAACCTGTGCACAATAATTAGTACTAATTAGTACTCTTTCATACAGAATCCTTTGTTTTCTATTGTTTAGTTATCACTATTTAGTGCTAAAAATTAGTATTTCACAGGTTTAGTGCGAGCACCCTAATACAGAAGTCTGGATAGAAAAAAAATTAATAGAACTACAGATTGAGTAAGTGTGCTGCGACTAGCCTGTGGGACCCTATCCTCCCAAATAGTTAATTTGAGCTTTACCCCACTCCCCTCCACAACAATATAATGCAAGCTCTTGCATGGCTCATATCAGCATTGTAGCTATAGTATCTTATACATGAGCCCCTCGGCTTGGAAGAATTGGGCAAACACAGTCACGCTAAAAAGTGTTGACAGTTTGTTTTATGGTAAATGTTTTTTTTAAAATAAAAAATACAGATAAACCTCCTCTCCCCTTGTCTCCCTGATTCATTGGGGGGGCAGCAATTTTTTCTCCTGAAATATGATGAGCAAGATAAACTTCTATATTAAAGATAAAGCATTTTTTTCTGGTTTAATATCAAAAGGCATGTCTTATCAATTTTTTTTTTCTTTTATCCATTAGATTTCATTTTCCTTAATCCCTAAAATTTTTCCTTAATCTCAAAAATATTTAACGGCTTCTTAAATTTCTGCCTCAGAGATATATGATGTACTATACAATGCTCCTATGGCTAAATAGCTTTATCTTGACATCTGGATACAATAAACTTTAATTACAGCTTGAACATGTATACTTATCTTTGTCTGTGTGGATTTTTTTTACACTATTACTGAATAATATTATGCAGTAATAGAGATCACCATATGAAAGCACTATGGAAACACTACCAAAATCCTTAGCTTACTTCATATGCTTTTGCATATGCTTTTCAAAAGACCTATGAAACACATTTAAATTCATGGGAATTTCATAGCCATGTTTTATGTGTTTATGAAAGAAGAACTTTAGAATTATGTTCCACTGTTCATAGGTAACACCTATGGAAAAAAACTAGTTAATTTATATAATTTTTTTCATAGCTTTGTAAAATAAAATAATGCACTCAATTTTTCATAATATTGGTGGATGGATGTCCATAACCTATACATACCTATAAATCTTATGAGAATCCTATTATCTTATCTATTTAACCTTAAAGCTAAGGTTTATTTCTTTTTCATTTAATTTCTTTTTATCATTTTCACCTCAAGTTTATTTCTGTTTCCTTCTTTTACTTAATTAATTTTTTATATTTTTTTATCTTTTCTTCCAATTTTAATTGTCATTTTTAATTTTCTTTTTTCTTTAAATTCAATTTTTTAGTTTTCACACTTTTTTAATACTCTTCCTTTTTTTCCTTATTAAATTGCACATTTTGTCAAATGACACTTAAAAAATGATTTAAAACCATCCCCTCCCAAGTGACAAAACACTTACACTTCATTTAACCTTTAAAACAATAAACTGTCAATCCCAAAGACAATAGAGGTGTTACGCACATGATTTAAGATCTTGAGTGCTTGTCCAAACAATGCCATTAATTTTAATGTTTGAATTACAAATAAAAACAAATAACAGTACAGTGAAAATTTCGAATAGAATAAACTTTTTGATGTAAAAAAATTTTTATGCTCAATAGGAATGGTTGACGGTAAATGTATTTCAATGGATTTTCAAAGGCACTAAGATATGAGACCAAGCTTATAATTCTATCATGTACCCTAATGGGCTCTGGATATGTTTTGTGCAAACACACTGATCTTTACTCAAATAAAGATTGCCTTCTTCAGTAATCATTGTAATTATTCACACCTTATGTTAATATTTATATGGATAGTATATGTGATATATATAATCGTAATTTGTAATGTATTTTTGGCACAGAGATATGAATGGTTGATACCACCAGAGTTAACCCCTCTATTAACTCTGATACCACTGAATCTCTGCATTGTGCTTTCCTTTGTTTTATGGCTCCATGAATGCATCCATATGAACAATAAGTAAGGGAAATTGGATTTACTATCTTTTAATCTAAAGTCTAGTGAATAAATGTGCTTTTCTTTTATATGGCATAACGTAAAAAATAAAAAAATTTAAACTGAAAGATAGCAAGATTCCATTTCATTTTAATATGAATCCATTAGTTTATATTCAAAAATTACATTTACATCCAAAAATTGAAATAAAATGAGAGGTTTTAGAATCTTGAATTATTTTTCCTTGTAAGTTTTTAAAAAGCACTTTGTTATTTCTTACGAGCATAAACTTAAAACCCTATAATAAATTGTCCAAACGCTTGGCTGTGACACGGCCGTAGGACGTGGGTGGCCCGACCAGCTGCAGATTTGATGAATTACCGACGGACAAAATGACATTTTTGCAGAAACCTTGATTGTCTCACAACTTCAAAAATACGGAATATCCGCAAAGTATCTTTGGAAGTTCTAAAATGATCTTTTAATGGAAATTAAAAGAATTTAAGTTTGAAGCGTTATTTGTAAGTGAATGCATGCAGCGTGTTGTGAATACGAAATCGCTAAATTCGCTCATGACCTCAGCGAAGCTAGCATTGTTGGAAGAAGTGCGACCCAAATTCGTTTGGGATGGCTTTCAAGCACAGTTTTGCGCATTATAAATTCCATAAATCCCACCAAATGCGACATATATTAAATGGATAATACACCTTTGCATCGACAGAAATTAAAAATATCGACGATTACTCGTAATCCTTAATAGCATAAGTCTAAGATTCTGGCTTTGCATACCTATCAGAATAATAATTTTCTTTAGAAAAATACTGAATTCTCAATAACAACAGTAAAACCACACAACATATTTTATGGAAAACTCTTTTATTTTCAAAGGCTTTAATCACCAATATCTTATATTCACAATTTTCACTCTAGTATTGATAGATTTTTTCATTTAATTTATAGATTTTGTATTGTACATAAGGCAGTCGCTTCGAATTGGCGGCCGCCTTGAAATAACTTAAACATGGATATCAATATCTATAATATGTTAAAAAATAAATCGATTTTCTGTATAGGGAATGTATGTATATATAAAAACACTCTTCAAAAGCGTTAGAAAATTGTAAAAAATCTCCTATTTCGCTATGCTTGGCTATTCACATTTCTACATTTGAAGGGCTTCCGAATGTTCACGAACAATGGAGGACGAACTTTAAAAATTTATGTCTTTAGAATTCGTGGCTGCTTTTGAAATCTAATATTTACAAGCTTTAAAAGCGATTGTTGGATCGTCTATAAAACGTTTTTTGCTTCACGTAAGTCGATACGAAAAGTAAAATATTCAATAACTTAGAATACATTGACATGAAGTTCAATTGTTCAATTACAAATTCAAATTGAGATCCTCATCTTCCTATGATTTTTGGAAGCACTGTTCTTGTATTTAAAGAACCAGAATCTGGCACTGTATCGTCTGTTATTTCTATAGGTTTCCTAGGCTTAGATTTCCCGGAAGATGGGCCAGTAGGGGGAAGTTTTCCGACTGCAGATCTTCGCTTCTCGGCCGAACTTGACACTATGTTGTTGTTTGGCTCGGGTGCTCTTGGCAACCTTCGTCGCAGCCATGGATGTCTGAGCGCTTGAGACGGTGTCATTCTTTGACTTGGCTCCCATTCTAAGCATCTCTTCAAGAAATCAATAAAAAGCGTATCATCACAGCCTTTTAGTGCTTGAGCAAACTTCTTGGAGCCAGGGATTCCTCGTGTTTTGCCGTGTCTAGACCGACCGGGGTTCAAGACAGTGCTGCCATCAGGTAGCGTCGTCACTGTGCAGTACCTTGGATGTCCCTTTGAACTAATGAAGTTCTTTGCGCGTTTCGATGTCTCTATTAATCGCTGAGAAGGCATTCCTAACAGCTCCATTATACAAGCTAGCTGATCGGCTTCATCTTCGCCGGGGAAAATCGGATACCCAGTTAAAAGTTCAGCTAGAATACATCCGAAGCTCCACATGTCGATCGGCATGCCATAGCGAGCACCAAGAATGACCTCTGGCGCTCTGTAAAAACGACTTTGAATATAGGTGTAGATTCTCTGATGTTCGTAACAACTAGATCCAAAGTCGATTACCTTAATACCGCTTCTTCCTTGCTGTTTTAGAAGGATATTTTCGGGTTTTAGGTCACAGTGGATGATGCGATTGCGATACAAAGCGTCCAGACATTGAAGGATGGAATGCGCGAATTTACGAACGAGTTGAAGACTAAATCCTTGGAATTTATTCTTCTTGATCAGTTCGTAGAGATTCATACTAAGAAGTTCGAATGTCATACACACGTGATTGCGAAAATTAAAATGCTCAAGCATGTGAATAATATTGTAGTTATTGTCTTTGTCCTGCTTCCGTAAATGTTCGAGTATACGAATCTCCTCTTGTGCTTGTCTGTGAAAGCGTTTCTCGTTTCGAACCATTTTTAACGCTATATGAGTTTGTGTTTTGTGATCATAAGCTTTGACTACTTGTCCGAAGCTTCCCTTACCAATTATCTTCAAAACTTCGTATCGATATCCTATATGATCGTGTGGAACATGAATATAAGAGCCTTGGTCATCGTCGTAGCCACAGTTATTTGCGCCGCTCACCACACCCTGCCTTTTCTTCGCATTTGGTCCAACAAAATATATTTGTGGATAATTAAATATCTCATGATGTTCGTAGTTAGTAAGTTTATGCATTAGCTGCTTCATTGCTTGATTAGGAGACATAAAATCTCGAGATTTCTGCGATCCTGATCCGTTACTACGTCGGTCTGCAGACGGAGAGCGTCCGACAACAGAAGACGGTCGTACAGATGGTAGCGCTTGAACTTCAGGAGCGATCTTCCCTTTGTTTTGTTGATTTGTCTCCTCCTCGAACAGTTGTTGTACTTGTACTCCTCCAAGATGCGGTAAAGCTCCTCCAACATTGCTAGGATCATGAGATTGATGTATTATGTTACCCTTTGTTGAGGGTTTTAATGGCGGTAAGACGTCTGTGCTCCCTTTACCTTCCATCAAAAACGACTCGCCACCCGTATGTAAGAAAGAACCAGGATTGGAAACCTGCAAATGTGGTTTCCTTCCAGTCGTAGTTATCATCCCCCGTGTCTAGGAATTATTCAAACTAAATGATTCCTTTACTATAACCTAGTTCTTTGGATGATATTCTTTTAAGTTCTGTTTGTCGCGGCTCTTCTTCTTTTTGTCAGCCGCTTTGTGATGTTTTACTTTGCCACGTTGCCAGGTGATTTCCAACCAATCAGATTGCGCGCTCACGGCGTCTTGACGACAGTAATCATAAATAGATTTGACGATAGCATGACGTCACAGTCATGACGAATTCTGATTGGTCATTTTAAACAATAACCTGCTTTTCATTGGCCGTTAACTGACATCACTTCCGGAAGCGTTTGAAAGACATTAGAAAACTCATTAGGAATTCAAAATAATTCAGCTGTTGAGTTTGTTTACATTAAACTGTAGCCACAAAACTTAAATTTAACGTACATGTAACAGAAAGAGGATTTGAATAAAAAAAAAAAACACCACAAGTTATCTCCTCAAACCTGCCCTATTCTTGTTCTGGTTTTGTGGAGATTACTAATTTTTTCAAACATTCTGACTTCTGGAAGACATAAGGAAAGACGTTGATGCCGTTGCTAGGATGCTAGGACTCTTGTTATATTATCTTTTGTTTGTTCCATTACATTGTATATCTTATATTTACTTGGTATTTCTTCTTTTTTGGCTCAAAATATAATCCAAAACGACGAAGCAGACTTCAAATTCCATTCTCAAAAATTTATAAATGAAAAAGAATTGGCGGGTCGCAAGGGCTGAATGGTAATCTGATTACTTGTCAAGGATCCTTACCAAACGATTGATCAACCAGAATAATATCTTTGTCTTTCTATATTGACCTACACTTGAATATTTTGCCGTTACTTTTTTATTTACTTTTAGTAGCCTCAAAAATTAAAGTATATTATCTAACAAAAGTTCTTCGAAAACACTAAAGGTTGAATTGTGGATAACAGGGTTTTTTTCTTTTTTCTTCTTCTTTTTTTTTTTTTTTTTTTTTTTTTTTTTTTTTTTTCGTAATATATATGATCTCCTCAACTCTATAGTTCATCGACGATCATTCACTCTTTTGGAGAATGAGGAAATGTGGATCGAAGGCTATGAAGTAATGAAAGAAAGATGTCGAATAGGAAGTCGAAATTTTTGAGAGACTTTCATTGATCACATCTGATCATCTGGTTGAAATATGGAAAAACCACAGGAAACCCATCAAGTAAAACCGATATTGCGATAAATCAATTATGTAGAAGGCCAGAAGACAAAAAAAAAAAAACGTTTTATTTATGATTTCAAAACTCTAAATTGAAATACATGTAGTGTATGACCAAAGCTGGTGTATTAGGGGAGTTGGGGGAACTGTTTATCTATAAGTGCAACAAAAAATATCTGACGATAAATAATGCCTGGTTCTTTGGAAACACAGGCTCTGGGTACGAGATTGCAGTAAGGATAACTAGAATTTCTGGATCTGAAGCCTTGTCAGACGGTCAAAAAGGATAATGTTTTTAGAGTATTTGTTTTTAAGACATCACTCCCTTTGGCTGTCGAGAATTTCCTTGACATGAATGAAGTGTCATCCTTATTCGCAAGCTAGGCCTTTTTACTGTATTATAGTGTTTGCATTGGATGCTAAATTATTTGTCATGTTAATTAATAACAGACCCTTTTCAGATAGACAAGCTGTTAGCGAATTGCTGGTTTATACTGAAACGGCTCAAAAGAGATACGGAAGAAAAGAAAGACACGGTGGCCATATTGGTTGATATGATAAGATACTAATGACAAGTTTTTTTGTTGCATTCCGAACCAAGATGGCGGATATGAAAACTAGCAATAGGAAAAAATTTAAATTATTTTGTTTGTTTTTGGTGTTTTATATGTATTTCTTATCTTCATATACAATACAAGCAATTGCATATTTTTCTGGTGACGTGGGTTTTGATGGATTTTCAGGCAAACGTCCACTATAATGTTCTAGCTATCATCCGGCACTTTGTCTAGTCAATATGTCAAGGCTAACTTAATAAAACGTCTTCTCTGTTAACACTTCATAACATTATAGCATATTTGGAGGCAAATGTAGTATATTTACACAAAAACGCCTTCAAGTTTATTGAGGAAGCTTGCAAGGCCAGATATTACAGTTTCCAGTGATGGATCTGACATTTCGGTAACGGACAAATGGGTCAGTTTTGCTAATATGATGACAGAACAGGCCGCTTTATATCTAAAAATTGTTTTGGGACAGCTGGCTGGAAATAACAATATTTACATAATCATCGATCTTAGTCTTAGTTTGACGTCGGGGACGTCATCGTTGAGAAAAACTTGAGTGGTGATCATAGTTCTTGAGGGCTCCCATCCGCAGTTTACCAAGTTCCCGTCGACCTTTTCCGGGATAGAACATGGTGCATTGTACGTGTTCTAGCAAGTTTTTGCGCGTTTTGTGTTCAAACTTGCGTGTTGGGTAAAGGTTGTGTTTGGGTTTAGTGGAAAATTGGTAAAGAACAATAAATGTTACTAAAGAGAATGATGTGATTATTCGTCATTTGGATAAAATCTGCATGAGTGACAATACATATTTACACGATACATTTAAATGTTAATGCCATTACATAATTTTTTTTATTGATTCAGACCAAATCATTAATTTGCAAATATAATTAAAAAATTCAATAATATATAAGTGATGTATCTGCATGGTAAAATATTAGTGTTACAATAACCATTATTTTGAATAGGAATGACGCAATAAAGCACGCGCTCCCAACCATTCCGAACGCGAGATTTATAACAGTTAATTTATTACAGGGTTCGTGCTACATTCTCGTTACAAAACTTTTTAAGCACTTTTCAAGCACAAAAATTCGATTTTCAAGCACAAAGTTTTTTGCATTAGAACGTGGTTTTAAACATTGTTTCATTGTTAAAGTGCAGCTAATTCAGCCAGGGCCACAAGCTTAGATAAAAAACGAGCATGACACGCAACCAACCACTAAACAAGCAACCAGAAACTCTTCAATCAATTTTAATCGTTATTTATTTTAAAAGGAAAGTTAGAAATAACATTAAGTTTGCACTAAATTCAAGGAGTATTCCAGGAGTTTTGGCAATTTCCCCTGTTTTCAAGGGCTTTTTAAGCGCCCTTGACAACGTGATTTCAATTCAAGGACTTTTCAAGGATTTCAAGGAGTAGCACGAACCCTGTTATTATGCAATTTATAGTCAAAAAATTACACAAAATTCTATCGTGAGTCCCATACATTCACTTAATAAATCTTTGCACAGTTACATTGTTTGGGGTTCCTGTGTTTTTACTAATATATTTTGTGTATCTCTAAATATCCCTCTACAGCGAGTCGTGTTCCACTAACCGTACTAACAGCGCAGAAGCTTAGTCTACTGTGACCGGGAAGCATGATGGCTCCTGAAAGACTTGAACCTAAGGAGAACCAGATGAATGAGTTATAGTAAAGCTGTTCAAACGTACTGCTTGGTGTCCATCAGCTGAATGAATCTCATTACCAGCGTACAATAGCGCAGCGCAATGATTCTAAAAATAGCTTAAAGATTCGGACAAACATTGCATTCTGTTTAACCGCTACGAGGATTATACGAACCGATTTTATTATTTTTACTTAAAGTTACAATAATAACCCATGGAAACTAAGTTCAACTGCGATCGGCCGTGAAAATTATCTGCTGAAAGTAAACTTGTAAGTTTGTTTGTCCGAATTTCGCCTTTGTCTTCGTTTTTATGACGTCACGACTGCGCTACGCTATTACAGGCAAACACTGCCCGTCATGTGCTATCAACCAGAGAGTATCAATCAACTGAATGAATCGCATTACCAAGTAGTATAGGGAATGGGGGTTCCAGCGCAATCTCAACACGGGCAAGACCCGTATCAAAAATCCACCTACGGACGACCCCCCACTCCAAGTGTGGTTGAGGGCAACAGCGCACTTAAATATGTTAGTCTATATATGGAGTGCGAAGA